GCCCACCAACCCCCTCTCGAGGAAGCCTGTTCCAGAGTTTGACCACCCTCTCAGTAAGAAATGCTTCCTAATGTGCAGTCTAAACCACCCCTGTTGCAGCTTTGAACCATTTCCACGCATCCTGGCACTGGATACCACGGAGAAGAGACCAGCACCTCCCTCTCCACGTCCCCTCCTCAGGAAGCTGTAGAGAGCAATGAAGTCACACCCCAGCCTCCTTTTCTCCAAACTAGACGAGCCCAAAGTCCTCAGCTGCCCCTCACAGGACAGGCCTTCCAGCCCTTTCACCACCTTTGTTGCCCTCCTCTGGATGCATCAAGGACCTTCATATCCTTCTTAAATGGTGGGGCCCAGAGCTGCACACAGCACTCACGGTGAGGCTGCGCCAATGCTGAATACAGCGGGATCATCACCTCTTCTGACCAGCTGGTTCCGCCGTGTTTGAGGCACCCCAGGTCGCAGTTTGCCCTCTGGGCTGCCCAGGCACGCTGCTGACTACTGTGCAGACTGCTGCCGACCAGCACCCCCAGGTCCCTCTCTGCAGGGCTGCTCTCCAGCTGCTCCTCTCCCAGCATACACTTGTGCCCTGTGTTACTCCATCCTAGGTGCAGGATCTGGCATTTGGACTTGTTAAATTTCATTCCATTAATCATTGCCCAAAGGACTGCTAATTGCTGCAGTTCACATATATAATTAAAGGGCACTCTATTTAGTAACAAAAAGGCATTATAAAAGTAAACATTAAAGATTATTCTTTGACTGTTAAGTGGTCAAAAGTTGATGACTGTTTTTTTGTAGCAGTGGTAATGCATCTATATCACCATATTGGTCTGTATTCAGGTATTCCACATGTGATTGCTGTTAATTTTTTAGTCATCAAGATATCTAACAAAAAGAAGTCATGGTTATTTATCTTATTATAGCTGGTTTCTGAGGTCTATTGTCTGTTACATTCAACTCCTGATATGCATGTTCTCTGTGTGGCAGACAAAGTCTAGAATTACCCCAACAATCCGTGAATTCATTTGCAAATACAGTACAGATGTTCTAGGGAAAAGACAGTAAAATGTGGAAAACAAATGGACAGCATATAGAAGCATCTCAAGAGTTACAGTTACTGCAAGGGTAATTAACTATTTCTTCTTTTTTTGAATGCTTATATATATGCCATACATTCTCAACGAGTCACAGACATTAAGCTAACATAAAGAAGGACACGTTTATAATCTGCTTATACAAAGACCATGGTACAACTATGCTAGGCACATAAAATCTATATTCTTCTGTCAGGAGACAGTATGTTGAGAATATATAGATGTACAGCAGCTAGCTGCTTTGCATACTTCTGAAATGGATATGTTTCTCAGAAATCCTGGCTAAATGGTTTAAGATCTAATGTAATGGATGAATGTAAAGAACTTGTACTAGGAGTTGTGGTCTACTTAGAAAAAAACCTTGAGGAAATAAGGAATTATTTTGACAGTTTCTGAGTCAAAACAGATGACTCCTCTTTTCATCTGTTTGCTAACTACATATAGACAGTTGCTTGTAGATTGATTACAGTACCTACAAAGATGCTATCTAGCCTATAGCACTCAAAAAGTACCAGAATTCTAGGCAACCTAAATATGTGTAAACAAAGAAGGTATTTATGAATATAAAGTATTTCTGATGAAAATTTAGGATACCTAAAGGTGTCTGCAGCACTGAAGAACAGTTCAGGTCTTTTCTGGGTCCCATATGACTGTTTAGATGACTGAAAAAAATATATGGATGCTTCTGTGTTGCCCAAAGCCCAACTGATCCATGCTTCAGATCAGTTTAAGTCCACGAATGCAGTTCTCAAACTACAGCTACTTCCTAATCCCAAAGTTGCCCAAAATCTTCACATGCCTGAAATTTTCATCATTAAACCCCCCTATATGCCTTAAGTTCTGATTCTGAACAAAGACAAGAGCATTTTAGTCTTGACATGGGTGCATAACTCAGTGGTTACTTAACTCCTTCATCTACAAACTGGACACTTCTTTATCTCAGCTGACAAGCACAAGTTCAAGGGTAATCACACACACCGGCTGCTTTCAATGAATTCTACTAAACATACCTCAGTAGATCCATCCATCATGTACTTTATGACAGTTCCTTGACTTGTGATGACTCTTGACACCTCCTGTTCTCTTTGCCTTGCCGCAGATGTATATAGAAGAGAGTTTTTTACCTTTTGGGGATAACTCTGCCTAACCAGAATTTCCAGAGCAGGCTGCTTGGCCTGATCTCTTTTAGTGTCTTTGTGCTTTATTTTGCCTTCTGTAACCTCATGTTCCTTCTCTCCACTTTCCATAACCTCTTCCTTCTTTGCTTCCTTTGCTTTTGCCTCCTCTTCTTTAGCTTCACCTGCTTTGGCCTCGCTTTTCTTTATCACTTCTTTCTCAGCTTCAGCTGTAGTGGCTTCACCTTTCAAATCTGAAAACAAATTCTGAATTATTTAATACTGCATAGTACGCATTCAACCAGTGCTAAATACCCAGCATCATGCTGTCTATAGAAAGTATGCAACTTTAGGTAGGACTAACCCTCCACAGAGTAAGGGACAGACCATTTTTCAGAGAACAATTCAACGCAGTCATCTACTCAGAAACTCTGCACCCTTCTGTGGAGGCATCTGTCTTTCCAAATGAAAATAAGGGAAATTTGAAGATGGATTTATTACGGATGCTGAACTTTTGGAAGATTGACATTAGGTGAGAGGAATTTCCTAACTGTCCATAAAGGTGAAAAAAGTTACTGAGTTTCACTAAGTTACAGTTCGTATAGATATTTTTAATTGATTTATATACATTTGGTTTGTTTCTCAGAGGTATGCTGCTTCATCAATTGCCAGGCAGACAGAAGATTCTGGTGGTTTGTATGCAACACCTCACGCACAGGATGTGTTGGAATTTCTGTTAGCATGTACATGGCGTGCGTGATAAATCTGTTTTATTCCTGGATACAGGCACATCTGCAGTTGTGCTGCTCTATTTTCACATACTCAATATCTCCAATACAGCCTGGGCGGGACAGATTTGTTGTATATAGGTATTAAATGACATCTATAGGTGGCTATTTTTAAAATTGACTGGATGATAACAACAAAATTCACATTCATCTGCTTCAAAACCTAATGGCATGACTACAAAACCCCAAGACTTTCTACAGTTACTAGTAAGCAAAGATGAACCTCATGCTGGTTTTCAAAAAACACTGGGAATTTGAGTCATTGCAGAAGGGTCAGGCACGGAAACTTGCAAGTATCTATATATCCTATCAGTCTTCTAAAGGAAATTCAATGATAAGGCCAGAAAGGCTTATTATATCCATCTTCTCTGTATATACTGGATGGCATAAACCAAAGAACTTCTGTGAAATAATTCCTGTTTGAAACTGATCATATCTCTTAGAAAGGCAACAAAACCTGATTGTAAAATAGTAGCAGAGTCCATCACAGCCTGGGTTAGTTTTGTTAATCATTCTTACAATTAAAAAGTGAATACAACTTAAATCTAGTATAAAGTACTACTTTACAGTTTCAAGCCCCTTAGATTTGTAATACCTTGTATACTGTGTTTAGAAGCTATCACCAAAATTCTGTTTCCTTGTCCTTCCAGGCTGTCACCAGTCACTCCTTTGACCTTTTCTTTGGTAACTGAGTTCTCTGGTAACATGAGCTCACTATAAGATATATCTTTCAATGCTTTAATCACTCTTGTCACTCTTCCCTGAATCTTTCAAAATATGAACATCTTGTCATATGGACTTAAGAACAGCACGTGCAATTCCAAAGGAGGTGCAGATATAGGTAACAATGATTTTCCTGTTATCACTCAAGATTCCTTGGTATATATGCATTTATGAATTGAATTTGCTCATTTTTCTTCAGTATTCCAAATACATATGCATATTCAACTAATTATCCAATGTGACTCCCAAGTGCTGACTCCCAACCCTGAAAAGGGTTGCTGCTTCCTGCACCCAATCTGTTTTGTCCAACAACTTATAATTCTAGATTTTACACGTGTTTGAATTAAAACACACTGTTTATGTTGCAAATACTACTAAACAGACATTATTACAGACTTAGCAATCTGAGACATTAAAAAATTCATACTGTTACATCTAAATCCATCAAGGCAGAAATAATTTTCTCTGGTAATTTTAACTCCTTTTAAATTCCTTACTTTGCAGTGGCTCAGAAAACTAACCTCCAAAACTTTCACCAAGGAAAGTTAATACTAGTCCATTGGGACAGGAGACGTTCAAACTTGGGAAAGCAAGAGCATTTGACATCAGTTGTGTTTGGGAAGCTGATTCTTCCATTTCCATCTACAGAACAAAACACGAATTAGCTTTATTCCACATTTTAAAAGACTAAAGAACAAATTAAACTACAGATTTCAGTTGTAACAAAATATTTTTTAAAAAGTGTTTTCTATCACTCATTTTTAACATTTTGAGAGTTTATGGATTCTGAAGTGGAAATATTAGCTTCTTTTCTTTGATTATACTATCTTTTTTCATTCCTCTTTATTAACCCTTGAAGAACAACCCCTTCTAATTTTATTCACAATGTCAAGATGAGAGGACAATAAATGGATAACATGAAGCAGAAGAGTGTGAAATAATTCTAGAAGTTGCACATCAGTTATTTCACCTACAATCATTAAAAGAGCACAAAAGATAAGTAGAGCAGTACTTCCAGTCTGCTGCAAATACAGCATTGACTTGAGAAGGCGACAGGAAGAAATGTTTGGCAGCATGTTTTGACATGTAATCCTCTTTGCACTGCTCTGTAGCGCAAACTGTTCTGATGACTAGAAAAGATGAGGCTGACCTAAGGAATGTCTGAAGACTGTGGAACATTTGGAAAAAATACAACAATGGACCTTTTGACGTCATCCCCCAAAAAACCCATGTGACAATGAACTACATTATGCCAGCAGTCATAAGATGAAAACAGTTTTGGGTTGCAGAGAGAGGTAACAGAGAGAACTTGTCCTGGTATTACCCTATATTCTTGATTTTTAAGACTAGAAATACAGGGGGAAATTGACAGATATTTTGCCAGCTGTTTTTCAGCATAAAGGTTGCTGTGCATTTTATGGTTACTTTACATAATATTACTGGGTAATTAAGGCTACTCTCAGTAACCTAAGATTGTAGTCATGGATCATGGGGTAGAAATCACATAACAGGGCAGAAGTAACTCTCAGTTATCATCTACTTCTCCCTGTCTAATGGTAAAAAAAAAAATCAAGCATACCTATATCATTAAAGAAAACAGTCAATGTAACCTAGTCTAAAAATTTCCAGGGCTGAAGGTTTCCTGGTAATCTATTCTGGTGCTTTACTTGATTAACCTTACTGACATTTTCCTATCAGTTAGCCTGAATCTCTCTTGCAGAAAATGAATTTAATGCTGATTATTTCTTTGATTATATGGGCTAGCATAAGAGATGATGGTGTCCTTTTAGCTCTTTACAGAAGGCTGTCTTTACAGAATTCCATCTCTCAACTCTAGATCAAACAAACCGAAGCCAAGTCTTTTAATCTTTCTCCACCAGTCAAGTTTTCTAGACCTTTGATCTTTCTTGGTGGTTTCCTTAAAACTCTCCAGTGTGGCCCATATTTTTCTTGCAGTCCAGTATCCATAACCAGACACAACACTTCAACTGAGGCCCTACCAGCCCTGAATGGAAAATGACTTCACATATTTAGCAGGCTATACTCCTGTTTAGTCACCTCAGTGTGGTCTTTGCCCTTCTCACAGCAAGATGGCATTGTTGACTTACATATAGCTTGTGATCCAGTGCAACTCTCAAGACATTTCTCTGTAGAACTGTTATTTATTCTGTAGATATATGTTGATTATTTATATGTAATTGTAGGACCTAGCAATTATTCTTACTGAATCGCATCCTATTTTACAGACCATGTCCATGTGAATTTGTCAAGTTCGCTTCAGATTCTAATCCTGTCCTCCAAAATACTTGCAGACTCACATAGCCAGGTGCTGTATGCACTAACATGGATAGTCTCTGTCTGAAGACATTCTAAACAAAATAAAAGTAAGCCTTTTGGAAGAAGAGGAGGAATGTAGACAACGTTCTAACAGAATTTTAAAGGTAGGGATATTTGTTTGTATAGGGTTTGTTTGCATAACACAATTGCTGTATTACGCTGAGTGCTCTTTGGCCACTCCTTACACCACTTTCCATGCTCATGCTCTTTAAATACCTAGCTAAACTTGCTGAAATTAGGTCAGCAAGGCTTTTGTGGATATGGACAGAATTCAAGCTGAAACAAGAGCCACAGCACTACTTCGTCCGGGTACCACAGAAGCAGCATAGGTAGGTCATGTTTAGAGAGTTTTCCAAGGCTACTCTTACAGCTCTCAGTATGTGTTCATTCTTGTCTGTCTTATTTCCCTCTCCTCTCATTTGTTTTGTAATGGAAGCTACCTCCCGTTTCTAATAAACCTCCACTGCATTTAACCCTTCATTTCCATATTGCCCGTTCTACCTCTTTGAACTGTTCAGCCCAGCTCCGTCAACAGAATTGTGACCTCCATTCAACTTCATTGCCGAGGGAGCTGAGAACATAACTCATAAGCCTCCGGTGAGAGCATAGCAAGAGCAATTTTGAAAGAAACAGGCAAAAGGAACCAGAGTAGACAAAAGACCGGTTTTCCAAGACATAGTTCTGAAAAAAGAAACATTCAGATCTTTATAGATGAGAAGGTGGTGAACCTTCTCAGTGCAGTGCCCAAAAATGGTAACAAGAACTGGAAATTCAGGATCTGCTTTTGAAATTTCATCCATCCTTTCCAAAGATCTGTCCTGTGATAGAAGCAAAAGTAACTTCCTCAAGTTGCTGGTCCCTGGCTTGTGATCAGCTGGAAAGACCAAATTGCAGAGCTTTTGCAAAACTCATTTACCAGTTGGTTAGACTTTCCAATACAGGTTTTGGAAAGCACAGGAAACTTCTCCTACTTGGTTAAACTAAAAATTAATTTCTAGAGCAGTTCTAGTCACTGAGGTTATTAATAATGTAACAGGTGGAACTGTAAAGCCAAAATTGACAAAAGTATGTAGACCATGGAAGACACACTGCTCTACATCATGGAGTCATAAAGGCTTGTTTCATTAACAACTGCCAATAAGTACATCTGAGAACAACCGGAAGAGTAAAACATATCCTTAGAAGCACCATAAATTGTTAGGAATTTGTTAAGGCACAGCTCGAAGTCCTCTGAGAAGAATATATGCTTCTGTTATGTAAGTCTATGCATTTGAATTTTTTTTTTGTTTCTTTTTCTTTGTTCCTTGGATAATGTTTATATTCTCTCACCTTTTCTTCTTCTTGCTTTACCGGGTCATGAGGTCGTGGAGGGCCTATTTTGCTATGGTTCGCTTTTGTAGATAGCAGAGATTTTCCTGATTTTTGTTTGATGGACTTATCTTTTTTTCCTGAAGCTGATGTAACAGGAGAAATTATGGTCGGAATATGAACAGAAGGGATGTTCAGAATTCTTGCTAAGACAGGATCTGTTTCATCATCTAAGGAAGGGAAAAGCAGTATTTTTAATGCAATTAAGTTTTGTAAATGTAGATGGCTGCATTCTATTTTTTAACAAGATTTTGCACATTAAATTTTACCTTTGGAATAATAACTTTGGTGGAGGAGTTTATTATTTCAGATAGAGGGACTGAATATAGGAAAATATTTAGAAAACCTTTCCATAGACTGACTACTCGTCAGCCTAAAAAGCACCTTGAAACTATTGTTTCCCACAGGTTGTCACTTGCCTCTCAAAAATAGAAAATACAATTTTTAAAATTCTCTTTTACTTCCATAATACTTAGATAGGTGAAGACATTTTGAGCCTAGCATCTAGGAAATGATCGCTGTTGTTATGCTTTATCAGGGCTGATCCAGCATGGATCGACTCTAGCAGTTTTGCACTACATAGCTCTATTTCGCTTTAATGACTCAGAAAGACTCTGATGATCTAGACTTGCTAAGACTCTCCCAGTTCTTAAAGGCCAAGCATTAGTGCAGCCTGCTAAGCATGTTGACAGGAAGTAGTCATGTTGCCTTTCAAAAAAGTTTCTTGAAAATAAAATTAATACAAACTAAGATTTTCTGTAAAACATTTTTGTTTCAATGAACTGACACTTTAATCAGAAAAACCCAGCCAACTCTTAACCTTAATGCTTTTTTGAAATATTTTTTTAATCATCTTTACTTGCTTGAAGGTAGCCTAAGTCTCAAACCTAAAACTCATGAAACAGCATCTTGTTACTCATCTAGACAATTTATGCAATTGAATTCTTGTTTGTTTTGGAGAAATTGTTACCTCAGATGGAGCAACTTATTATCCACATCTTAACCACACCCATATAGAAAAGAACAGAATACAGCAGTGAGCAAAACATAATGACCTCAGAAACCAACTTTTGAAAACCTTTTTTAAATAAATAAAGCAAGCTTGATTTGCTCAGTATTTTCTACAAAGCATTAAGTTTAACAAGCCAGTCATTTCAAGAATGTCTTTTAGGAAGACTTCCAAAAATCCTTTTTTTTTTGGTAAAAATTTTGGTAAAATTACATTTTAATTCTGCTTCTTCCAATGAACAGTATCATTTAACGTGAAAAATGATACATCAGGCAAAGAAAAGTTAAATAACTCATTGACAAACTGCTAGCCAGATCACATTCAGACAAAGGAAAGAAACACATGTGGAAGCATGCTCATAGAACCATTCTGATGTGAGATCATGGCATTTTCTGCAATGCAGATGAAGCATTAGTATATTTTTGGCTGAGAAAGATAAAAGGTAGGCCAAAGCGCTGCTATGTGTATTGTTTCCTGAAAGGTTTTGGCATAGATGGGTTTTAGCTCTGCAAACAAGAAAATGCAGAAGCCACCTTAAAAATGAAGTTCTAAACTACTAGAAAGGCTGCCTGTGTATTCATTTGCCTTATGGATGATTCTGGATTTATGTAAAGTGCAAATGTGTCCCCAAATTTAAGAATCTAAGGCTTGAAGAAACTATTAGATCATCTGGTGATACAGTCCTATTTAGGAGTCCATGGATAACAAGCCTTCCCAGTTTTTAAGCCTTTAACCTTAGATTTTGTCTTGGTGCCAGCATCAGGGAAATGCACACATACTTGAATATACCCATGACCTTTAGCATAGAATCATAGAATCACAGAACAACAGAATGCATTGGGCTGGAAGGGACCCCCAAAGGTCACGTAGCCCAACTTCCCTGCAGTGAGCATCTTTAGCTAGATCAGGTTGCCCAGAGCCCCATCAAGCCTGATCTTGAATGTCTCAGGGATGAGGCCTCGACCACCTCTCTGGGCAAACTGTTCCAGTGCTTTACCACTCTTATGGTAAAGAACTTCTTCCCAATATCCAACCTAAATCTACTCGTTTCTAGTTTAAGACCATTGCCCCTCGTCCTATCTCTACGTGCCCTTGTAAACAGTCCTTTCCCATACTTCCTGTGGGCCACCCTCAGGTACTGGAAGGCTGCTATAAGGTCTCCCCAGAGTCTTCTCCAGGCTGAACAACCCCAACTCTCTCAGCCTGTCTTCATAGGGGAGGTGCTCCAGCCCCCTGATCATCTTCATGGCCCTCCTCTGGACCCACTCCAACAGGTCTGTGTCCTTCTTGTATCGAGGGCTCCAGAGCCAGTTGCAGTACTCCAGGTGGGGTCTCACCAGAGCAGCGTAGAGGGGGAGAATCACCTCTCTTGATCTGCTGGCCACGTTTCTCTTGATACAGCCCAGGATGTGATTGGCCTTCTGGGCTGCACGCACACTGTTGGCTCATATCCAGCTTTTTATCCATCAGTATGCCCAAGTCCTCCTCAGCAGGGCTGCTCTCTATCACATCATCCCCCAGCTTGTATTGATTACAAGGATTAGCCCTGCCCAGGTGCAGAACCTCGCACTTGGCCTTGTTGAACCTCATGAGATTCACCTGGGCCCACCTCTCCAGCTTGTCCAGGTCCCTTTCGATGGCATCCCATCTCTCAGGCACGTCAACAGCACCACTCAGCTTGGTGTCATCTGCGAACTTGCTGAGGGTGCACTCAATCCCACTGTCTATATCATTGATGAAGATATTAAACAGCACTGGCCCCAGCATGGACCCCTGAGGGAAACCACTCAGCACCCATCTCCATCTGGACATCGAGCCATTGACCACTACGCTCTGGATGTGACCATCCAGCTAATTTCTTATCCACTGAACAATCCACCCATCAAATCCATATCTTTCCAACTTAGAGATAAGGATGTTGTGTAGGACCATGTCAAAGGCCTTGCAGAAGTCCAGACAGATAATATTGATAGCTCTTCCCTTGTCCACTGATGTAGTCACTCCATTGTAGAAGGCCACTAGGTTAGTCAGAAATCAGTCTGAATTGGCCTGAAAGGGAAATTCAGATCACCACAAAGATTTTTGGTATCTCCATTTTCATTAGCTGATGCATGCCAGATGCACGCCTGATGCACGGGAATCTGATGCTATGTTAGGTGGCTCTGCTGTCATGTACTGAAATTTATGCTGTGTGGCTTTTACAGCTTATTGGAACTCTGAGGAAAGGCAAACAAACCTGTTTTATTTGTAATATGCTAGAGATGAATTCTCAGCTAATTATATAAAATAGGAAAGTTTAAAATTCTCCATGAAGTCCACTCTGATACACATCTATTAGACAGCATGGCCATGTAATAAACAAGTAGTAGTATCCATCTACAGGCAGATGGTGAGAAGAAAACAGCTGACTAAAACTTTGACAGAGCTAGTGCTCCACAGAGAAGTAGGACAGCTGAAACGAAGGATTCTGAGGCAACTGTCCAATAAAATCATTAGTGAATAAAATCCATCTTGTCAGGTTAGTATAAATATCCACGTGAACACTGCAAACCGGGCATAAGCAACTTTATATACATAGTGAGGGGAGCTATCCTTCACAGCTACCCAGGCTGTGAAGCAGAGCATGTCATCATTTCAGATGACACTACTTTCCAGAGTGCTGAATTTAGGAATAGAAGCTGTTATAGGCTCTTGACCCCTAATGAAATTTCACCTACTCCTTTACTCTGGTTGCCCTGAAAAATGAGAACATAATGTCTGAGGGTAACAATGAAAAAGAGTGGATTGTTGAGATTGGGGGAAAGTGTCTTTAGAGATCTTGAGAAAAATGGGAATCCAGAGGACTGGCAGATTAAGGAAGGTTTCCTTAACACTTGGAGTTGTACTCCCATAATTTCATCAAGGCATAAAGAGCAAATGTAAAGGTTCTATAATACCCAGAGGCAAAAGCCCCACAGGTGGCGAAGCAGTGCCAGATTCACAAAGTGATAGAAGCTTACTTATAAGTAAGCCTGGCTGTAAGGTGGTCTGAAGTTAGATTTCGGTCATGCTAGAGAAAACAGATAATAATTCAAAACTTAAATATTAACATTTAACCAAGAAATAAAAAAACATGCATAAAGCTGGCAAACAGCCTAGGGCCTTTTGTCATCTTAGCTTCCCTAAAAGGAAGATGCAAGAGATAAAATAAGAAAAATGATTAAAAAAAGAATATTAGAGAGGTTCCAGAATATTATTTCAGTAATGCAGGGAAAAGGAGTAATTTGCACCCAATTGAACCAATCAGTGGAAAGAAACTTCTGATTACATGGCATACTGTTCTGCACTAGGGATGGATGGCATATGAGAATAGTCTAAGCCAGAATATTTCTGGTCAGAATTTTTCTGAGCACTTGTGATACAAACACCCATAAGGGGAATTAGGCACAAGCAAGTGATTGCAGAAAAACTGCAAACAATCAAAGAATGCCACTCAGCAGTGCTGCATTAAAGCTCAACATGGCAAGGATTATTCTAATGTAGAATAGGATGCTTTACGGTACACGCAAAAAAGCCTAAACAACACAGCTGACCTGCAGGTGTTTAATTAGACATATCTCTCTTTTACGCCAAAACAGAAGTTTTCACAGTCCACCACATTGTGAATGCTTTCTGGGCCCAAGTTTAAAAAGTTCTTTTTTAGTAAATAATTTGTAAAATGTATTTGAATAATTAAAACTGAGTGTATAGCTGAATGGTTTACCACAGTTCACACAAAGATGCATTCAATTAAATGTTTTCATATTTTAATAGCTGAAAAATGCTGGGGTTATTTTCTGATCAGAGGCGGGTTTCACTTTTATATGTATGATGGTTTCAGTGGCCTTTCAAATGTAATGGAAACAAAAAGCTCTTGGTAAAAGCAGATGCTATTTTCACTGTGGTTTTGTGAAGCAATTGCTTCCAGTTGGTGAACGTGTTTATTGAAAGGCTGAGAGAAATCCCTCATTATGTCTGCACAACTGTAACCTAAAGTCCAACTACTAATGTAAAATGAAAGTTCCATAATCATCTATATACGTTTACAAAAATATTATTTCTTGGAAAACCAAGAAGACTCCTCAGCAAATCACATTTTCTTTGGCTCAAGTTAATTGGCTGATTTTGCTGGGCTACTTAATAACAACACTTGCAAGTTTCTCCCTGCACTGCTCTATTTTCACAGTAAGTAAAAAAGCGTGGAGACCTCCCTCCATTTTGAAATTTGAATCACAGAACATTCTTGACAATGTAATCTCATCTCGAGCCTTGCTGAAAATTCCCTACCATGTAGTAACAGCTGCTGAGAAAGGCAGAATTGCATGCAACAAATTATTGGGTTAAGGAGTGTATGAAGAAAAAAGAAAAATAAAAAAAGAATTCCCCCTACAGTTCTCAAATATCCTCTTCTATTTGCTTACTTTACCTGCTCTCTTCCCTGTAGGTCCATAATAGCTCAGGGACAGCTGGATTCCATTTTCCAAGGTGGCTGAAAAAGATCCAAACTTGCTCACAGCTTTCTTTTGAATTTTCAATTTTCCTTTAAAAAAAAATAGAATGAATTTTAAAGATAGCAACACATACCAGAACCACCTGACCTGCAAACCAATGACTGGTGTGAACAGTGGCACCTCAATGTGGATGACTAACCTGTAAAATAGTTTAATATAGGACAGGGAAAACTTTATTATTCCATTCATAGGGTAGTATATAATAGTCACTTTTGTGTAATCTAGCTGTGATTTTTTCATCTAGAAATTGCATTCTAATTAGCTAGGTGTGTAAAAACAGGTTTAAAAGCAACAACTAGTAAATGTCTTTGTGAATTTAAACAGCAAAAGAACCTAGTTCTTAAGTCAAGGATCCTTGTTTCTGTTCCCTACTTGGCTGACAAGAACGCTACATGTGGCCTATGCAACTAATAAAAGTCACTGTTTCTCAGATACTGTCACAGTGACCATACCTTGAGGAGAAAGTAGAAGAAAGGAGAAGAAGTTGAGAAATTAGATCCAAACATCTGTCTGGCATTTGTGAAAGTGGATCAGGAGACAAGCTTACTTGGAGGTGCAGGACAAGATGTCACATGATGAGTATGTCACCTTTGAAAACTATGAAACACGTGAACTATGTAAGGCAACATCTCTGAGACAGTGACACAGGATCCTACCTTACCTCTAGTTCAACTCCTACTGCCTTAAAGAAACTTCTGCTCATAAGAGGAAATCCTTAGGATTTCTAATATGGTGCACAACTTCTTAAAACTGTGATGAGCAGCAAAGAAGACTACAAAAGAAGATTAAGGCAGGCACCCAATACCTAGCCATCTCCCAATTCTTTCATCAACAAGGCACACAGGCTGAGACCTTGTCTGCTTCTATTCACTGTCTGTCATTACAATGTTCATTGGTGATAACCACCTGCAGGATGCTCTTTTGCCATTTTGACTGCATTAAAAGCTTAACTATTGTATTGTTCAGCCACTGCTAAGTATCAGAGTGCATTGATTCTTCTCTTCCCTACTGCCTTTCTATAAGGTACTCCTGTTTACACAGGAGGAAAGCCTCTCACTCATGCCAAGTGAATACAACTTGCCTCAGATGCTAGCACACTGGTGATTGAAAGTACCATTTGTCAGACCCCAGAATGATACAGGTCTACTTTCAGACAAGAAACATCTTATCTTGAAAGGGATCCAAATTTTCTATTCAGACAACCTAACATTACATCAGTGGTGGCAGCTGAAGCCAAGGAAAGGAGCAAGAGCAGGACGTTTTCTAACACTGATGAAGATTAAAAGAGCTAACACACCTACCAAAAGGCAAACACACCTACCTACTTTTACAATACTCTTCAGTCCAGTGAAAGCAATTCCATAGCGCTTTTGGCAAACATATACATATATTGTTACAGACTGGCTTTCTTCTTGGAAACACTCTCACCTGGGTTCAGAGAGCATGTGGATTCAATGCTTTCTGAAAGTTAGCAACATGTCATCCAGCAGTAGAAGCTGCTGAACTGCAGAAAAATCTGTTTTCTCAAGCAAAGGTATTGAGGAGCCACTAACGCTATGGTCATCTGACCCACAAAAGAAGGGTGGGTTCAAAGAGGGAAATCCTGCCTTTCAAGGGCAGATATTTATTCTGGTCATCTTCAGTTTGCATCTTCTTAGGCTTTCCCAGGCCACATTAAAATCTGAAGGATTCCTCTACTGAAGTAGTACATTATTTTCTTAATGAATGGTGACTCTTTTAATTGATTTAATGGATTTCATTTTCTTTTGGAAAAGAGACTGGTTTGCACCTGTTGACCTGTGCTGTGCTTCTACATCTTGGTAAGATCTCTCTATATGGTGCTTAATTTGGCCAACTGGATTTTTACTTCTGTTTACAGAACACTGATTTTATTTAACCTCTGCCACTAGTAGGATTTTATTTTCTCTTAGTTGTTAAGGTTTGCATCCAATTACTAAATATGTCAAACTATGAATTCTTTACATCAGTGATGTCAGTCCACTAACCTGATCTAATTTTCTGTTCTTCACTAATTTCTTGCACTTCGATTTCTTTTAAGTTTTCCTTGGGGTCTGTGATATGAATGAAAAAATTGTGGTTGTCTTTTATCACTTTCACCTTTACCAAAGTTAGACCTGCAATGCAACAGAATACTATTATTGCTCCCACCAGCCTTCAGAACTGTCCCGCACCCAAACAAAACCCCTGCACCTGCAACTACAGGGCAAACAAAAAGAAAATTGCTCAGAAGCAGATTGAATTGCTTAGTAGTAGACCAACAAGACAAAATTAAGGTTAGCTGAGTTTAGAATAAATATTCAAAAACTTCCTGACACTTCAATCTGAGAGGCTGCAGAAAACCCTGTTGCTTAGATATATTGCGTTTGACTGACCAAATTATTGGAACATGCACTCTTGAAATATCATGCATTGGCTACCATTGAACAGATAAATATGAACTGATTTTTCTCCATTTCTAATTTGCTGGTACTTTATTTATCTATCAATTGTTAACATAGTACAGGAAAATGTAAACATTAGTAGCGACAGGCTAATATGGAACTACATAGTAATCTCACAATGTCTTTAATTGAATTTCTACTACTGAAACATGAAAAAAAAGCATTTGTGGATTAAGAAACTATTCCATCAGTTAGTAATGGAGTCAAAGCAAAGCATAAAGAATTAAAGAATCACCTTTTACAAACTCTATCCTCTCTACTTGAATCTGTCCTCCATCAGATGGGAAAAGATATTGATTGGTTCCTGATACTTGAATGAGATCCTCCCCTGTATTATAGCCAAGAAACTGGAAAAACAAGTTTTAGATTATGCATAAATGAGAAAAGCAGAAACTATGAAAAAGGTAAATGAAGGATATATCATGAGGATCCCACTATTCTGGTCAACATTTTTTTCTTAGATACGGTGACTAATGCAATAAAAACATTAGCAAATACACAGCATGCTGTTCTCATAATCAAAATAATTTCTCAGTTACTAACTGAAGTAACTTGTTATACATGAGAGCAGAATCTGGTCCATCAGTGGTATGGAGCAAGTAGACTGATGGCTTAACATATAATGGGAGGAAAAGAAAAATTCTGGCCAGGTATGAAGAGGCAAAGTATAATGCCATGGGATCAGATAAAGGGCACATAAAGATTCAGATTTCCACTCACCAGATTTTGGAATTCAGACACTATAAATCCGATTCTTTCATTGCTGTGCCTTCCAAAGAGCCACAAATCGGCAAAATTTAGGTGAGTGTATTCAAGTATGATTCTATGATTCTATGAAGTTCAGACTAAAATGTTATATATCTCTGAGTTTGAAGCCTCTACTTAAGCAAGTTTAGACTAGAATATATTGACCTACGCAAGTTTTGGATGCAAGGCTTAGACTCTGCAAATATAAAGCAATGCAAACTGCCTAAAAACTGTTTGGACTAAACGAGTGAAGAGTTTCCTCTGTAAGAAATACCCTTCTATTAGTATAAGAGGCAGAATAGCTTGTATTAGTGGACTCCAAGAACATGAATTCTGAAACATGAAGTTGAAGTAACAGTGAACTCCTTTTACTACTTTTTTTTTTTTTTTTTTCCCAATTTGGATTTCCAGTGTGGACAGCCAAAACTTCAACTAAATCTAGCAGTCGCCAAATATGGGAATTGGAACAGGTCTTTATGTTCCCTTTTCCCACCTTCTCCCATGAAAATCACATTTTTAGGCAAAATTCATCCCATAAATATATTTTCAATGGGCACAAAACCATGATCAAGTTGTATCTGTATCCATGTCATACATACTAAAAACCATCCAAGTTAACTACAAAGTCTTGTGTAGGATAATCTTAAACATCAGAAACTGCTTTCCAAAAATTTTAGGAAAGGATCTGCTGCTAAAATGATGGAGTTAAACAAGATCTAGTTAGGCTTAATTTGCCCCGAACTCCAGTTTCAGAATGGGTAACAGTTTTGCTGTAACCTTGACTTTATATATAAATAGTTAGTACTTTCCTAACGTGGTGCAGTAATACGATTCCTTACCTTATAAACTTTCTCAGAATGTGGTTCTGGGATGCTGGGTTCCTCCTCAAGTTCAGGGGCTTTTGCTGGCTCATCTTTAAACTTTTCTTTGGAAGATTTCTTGTTAGAATCTTTACTTTCCTCATGTATTATTATCTCCTGTCCTTTCTTTTTACCTTCCAAATTTTCTTTTTTTCCTTTTTTTTCTTCCTTAAGTTGTTTTTCCTCCAGTAATCGGTCTTGCTTCTCCTTCCAAGCCTACATTAAATGTTAGGAATTCAAAAGACTGTGGTTCTCTTTGTATTACAAGGTATTACATATGTACATGTTGAAAAGAGTACAAGTAAACAAACTCAAAGGAAGCAATGTTCTAAGTCACTCTAAGACATGTTTTCCAAACGTGTCTACAGTTTACAATATTACACACTATGTTTTGCATAAAATTATGGACTCATTGAATCCACAGGATCAGTAATTCTTGACCACAGAAGACACATCAGTTGATTATTTGTATCTTACACATTTAGTCATAAAAAGAATTACTTGGTTGTGCACTTTTCCACAATGTTTATCACCAAATGAGAGTGCATCACTGGTATTAGTTTATTCCCAAAATACATCTGTGAGATAAAATGATATTATTCTTTTACAGAAAGAGAAATGAGGTATCAATGCCAGAATTACAATTTGTATCAGGAAGACATCCAAGTATTTAGGGCTTTGTAGCATTTTATATTCTAAGCATACCAAAGCACAAACATTTCTGTGGAAGAAATGCTAAGAATCCACAGATACAAATTAGGCATTAGCCTAACTTGAGCCGTGCCAACTTGAGTTACCAGGAATTCGTTAAAACCATTTCATATCTGCATTCCAGTATCAGTACTTCCAGTGCAGAGCATTACACAGTCTAAGAAAGATGAGACATACTATAGCTGTCAGAAGTCAAAAAAAGCAGGGGAGTATAACATCAATTACACCAGTTTTGTGCAGATTAATGGATAGAGGCAATGCTAAGGCTTAAAAAACGTGTGCTTAACTCCTACCTCAGCCACAAACTTACTGTGTGAATCTAGGCAAGTCAATTAATCTGTAGTGCATGGCCATGGTCTACATCTATAAAATGGGATTCTCTGACATAAGGGAACTCTGAGGTACCATAATTGCATTCCTTGATTTCAAAGAGCTGTAGATAGTGAAAGTAGGAGTTGAGTACATAAGCACTCCCATGAATCTGGATCTTATGTTTTCATAGCTTTATAACCAGAAAACTTCAAGAAGTAGGATATTATCCAAAACTCTCATTTCCTAGCACTGCAATTATGAATTGCTTTTGAAATGTCTAGCTTAACTCCAAACAGTCTTCCCTTAAGAAAACAACAGAACATATCTGAAATCAATAAGGAATAAACTAAAGAAAACAAGAAATAAGATATATGAAAAATAGCCAAGAGTAGAAAAACTAAGAGGACTGAGTCATGCCTCAAGGATGAAGGCTTACCTTCCTGGGAAAGTAGTGTTATTTAGTCCATTTCAGAAACATACATATTTTTGCCTCACCTTTAAAGAACCTTCTCTAATAAAAGGGCTTTTTTCATTGTTGGATTGAGATTCTGGAAAGGTCTCCATTACGCTCTCAGGTCCTGATGTTCTGCCTTTGAGAAATGAAAGGGAATAAATGAGATTATAAATATATGAAAATTGAATAATTTTTTAAAATGGAAAAATAAAAATAAAAGAAGTTCAAGTAAATAAAAAACATATTTCAAAATAGTAAAAGTATAAAAGTAGGATAAAAAATTTAAAATATTTTAGAGATAAAACAGAAAGTCTGTTCAGGTTAGAAGAAACTTATCTGACAATTAATATTACTTGATAGTCAGAACTGGGGACCAAATATGCTAAACAATATAGACTGACTCTCAATACCAGTCATAGATATTTTGACCTTTCAAGATAACAAAGTGAATAAATGCTGCCTGAACCTTCAAACCTTCACTAAAGAAACACTTGCCATATCCCTTCTTTACTATTAGGGCTTTATAGCATCTATGACTCATGACAAGAGTGTGTGATTTCATATGTTGCTTGGATACCCAATGTTTACCTGCTAGAAAATATAAAGTACACTATCAGAAAATTACAGTTAAATTACTTTGTACTAAACAGAAGAAATTGCAGTGTGGGTTACAGCAGTGCCAGTGAAATTGAAATCACCTAAAGACACTGTCACTCATCTACATGTCCCAGCTAGAGGTGATTATCTTTTTTCAAGCAAGTGAACTTCTCTGTGAATCTTATCTCTCATGAGGCACCAGATGGGCAAGATTCTACCTAGGTAGACAGGTACAAATTATGATTTAGAAGTCATAACTGTCCTTTTGGTTTCCAAACTATAGACAGACGTGTTAATTGGGTTGAGTAATATCATTCCTATTTTTGTAAATGTAATTGCTAGTACTAGAAGGTTTCAAAATGCATTCTCAAAGGTGGTGAATAAAGCAAAGGCTAAATATCAGCAAATCATTCTTAATGCCATTTAAATACACAAATAGACAAATTGGACAAAAGTTCTCTTTTGTCAAAAGGGGTTTTCAGATTTTGCTGCCTGCTTAATAGATACTGTATGAACTGTTTACAATTCTCACTACCCAAAATGTTGTTTGTAATTAAAGTTTGCTCTGCAGTCTAGTCAATTCCAATTTCCAGTTTTAGCTTCTAGCCCACAGCTTCTCACTTCCAGCTTTTATCCTGCCCTTTTAAAAAGGAATTTTCCTGAACCATGTTGCTGACTTTAACTACTGCTCATCTCTTCACATGTTCAGTCAACTAAAGAGATTCATATTTGCATGTAACCCTTAAAGTAATTCCACTAAATAAACACAGCTATTGTAAATGTAAATTCACACTAAAAGTCTCAGTTTTCAGAACAGAGGATGATGCAGAATATTTAAATATATGTATTTAATTAATTTCAAAACATATTTATGTCTATAGAGATGATAAAATAAGGTTACTCTATAAAAAATATATGAAATTCTTCTCTGAAAAGTTTGGGTCTCAGCACTCAACATGAAAATGAATTTTCTAGGATAAAACAAAAAGATACCCACTTTTGGCTTGCTTATGGAAGCCAGTTTTTTTGATAGCATATGCAGAAAATTCAAAAGGTGCTTCTGACATAGCTTTTTCCAGTTTAAGAGACTCTATTTCCTTAGCCATCTTCTCTTCTTGGTATTTGACTTCTTCCTCTTTCACCCAGTCTTCAATTGAGTTGGCCACCAACTCGAGATAGTTTCTGAAAAGCACAACATTCCTCTATTTACCATAATACAGTTTTCACTAATATGATTTCGGGTCAAACAAGATCACTTGGTTTCTCAGTTTCTTATACAAATATTATTCTATAACCTCTGAGAGAAGGCTTGTGTTTGACAGGGTTTCTCTCAGTTTTTAAAGGAGCTGGTACTTTTGCTGGCTGATATTTGCTTCATATATCTTATGTTTGGGATTTTGGTTATCCTTCCTGCAAAGAGATATTAGAAACTTGTCTTCCAAAGAATGCCTGCCCTCAAAGAAAATCCAGGAAGTCAGAAAACAGAAAGACATTCAGTTTAAGAAAGGTTGAGAGTAATTCTCCTCTTTACTGTTTTACCACCAGGATAACTTCCTTTCTTTGTTGCTCGTGATTTGTATTGTCTTTTAGAATATGCTTTATTTGTTTGTTCAGCAACTGACAAGGTGTCGTTCTATTTAATTTCTAGCTCTTCTTCATTGGTGTGACAAGAAAGGTGCTTCTAAACTGTCATCCAAATCCAGACTAGAGAATCAATGCACCATAGCCTGGTGTAAACTAAGAATATTCACAATTAACAGTTGAAGTGAGCACTGAATGATGAACTGATCCAGAGTTTGCAGCTGGTATTGGTAGTTGCATTATCTCATCTTCCAAAGGTGTCCAAAATAACTGCTAAAATAGTTCATTGAGAACAACTGCTTCCAAGGTAGTATGAAGCCTTGAAGTCTAATCTGTAGTTGCCACTCAACCTTTTTTTTGGATTGCTACCATAATTCTCTAAAGTAAAATTTTTCATGTGTGCAAAACCAATGCAGGAGATTCAGTTGTGTCTTCATAATGTTTTGCATTTATAAGTTCAAGATGATTCAATTGTATTCAAAGGCTCTGTATACATCACAGTTTTTGGTTGTGAACATGTAGGTGGCACAACCAACTCTTGACCTCATGACAGTTTTAAAGTTCTTATTGCAGCATTACTTTGTATGTCCAAGAGAATGAATACGTAGGCTATCTACAGAGACTAGAGATGTATATAGTTCATGTACAACATAAAAATACACAAGTCTCTCCCAGCTCCTGCAATGTAGGTGGAGCCTGCTTTGGGAAACTTGCATGGTGAAACTGTTGATCATATACTCAGTAGGGACAAGGTGACTCTGCTTTTATGTGAAAGAAAAGTGTACAAACTATAAAAACAAAGATGTTGAAAACAAAAGGCAAAACTAGGCAGGAACCTACAGTTGCCAGTACTAGAATAACTTGAAGATGACTATACACTATAAATAAAAGAGATTATTCGTGTGGAAAATATTTTAGGCCAATGAAACAGTCATTCAATGTCAAAAATACACATTCTATTAATATGTATTCTGATGTCACTACTGCCAATGTCTGACTCAGAATCATTTCTCAGAAAGGATTATTCTTTTCCAGTAACATGTGTAATGTATTTACTATGACACAGTAAAACCAAATGTCATTAAGATTAACTTTGAGCAAAAGAATAGCTTTGATAACGTCTGAATTCATTTGGCCTCCTGACACAGTGGCCACTTATCCTAACCAGAGTTGAAACGTTTTATACACACATATCACTGCAGGTACATGTGTCCATGCCTTTGGATCCACTTAGTCAGTAGCATTTGTGAGATTTCACATGCAACTTTTGCCGCCTACCCTTTGAACACTACAATTCCTGAATTTTTGGATGTTCTACATGAACTATGGGACCTGATACCCATAAAGAACAAAGGGTCACTGGGATCTCCAGGAGCAAAAGCTGCTGCACCTTAAGAAATTTAATTTCTTCCTTGCACGAGAATTTGCTGTAACAGGACCCACTGTAACCAACTGATTAGCAGGTAACAGAAGTATATTCCAGACAGCAACTTTGGAACAACCCTACAAAGTGGGTCTGTGGTCTGTAAGAGGTCACAATAAAGAATTGGGGAGGAAGGAAAAGACAAGGAAATACAGGCAGAGAACTCCTAACAGAGAGATAGTCAAGCACAGTGTCTGTTGTGTATTTGTAACTTTCCTGTGGTGAAAGTGTGGCTCTTAAATATATTCCAAAAATTAGAATGATAACCATTTTAGTAAAAGGAAAATCAATGAATTGTTACTAAACTCATCAGGAGCCAGTTATTTCATACAAAGGTAACACTACTGCTTAATTAGTAAGTAGGGTTTGTGCACGTTCCTGACAACTCAGCAGGATCTGGAAGTTAATGCAGGTGACAGCTTCAAGCATTCCAGGTATTTAAAGACTGTCTTCTGCAGAAGTGTTACGTTGCTTGGAAACTCACACTAGCAAATATTTATGATACTTTGTCTAGAAATCAAAATTATCTTTGGCAAAAAGGTTGAATAAGGTCAGAAAATGTGCTGATTATTTTGCAGAGAAAAGGCAGGTATAAATACCGCATAACAGAACCAAACGAAAGCCCATAGCTCTTCAAAGATACTAAGTAGCGTAAATAGCAGTGATGTTGAATATTTCTATGAAACGAGAGCAAAGACAAACCTTCTTGTTAGCTTCCATGGCAGTTTCTTTAGGAACTTCTTGCTGCTTTAAAACAGAATCTGATGAAGTGTCACTGAACAAAGCTGTTGTGCCCTAGCAGAAGCTGGTTTTAATGTCTAAGCCTTGTTTCCAGTGTATGTGGAAGAGTAAGAAGGAGGAAGCATATAGCTATTTCATCCTCAACTGAATTATAATGCATCTACCAGAGAACACGCTTCATTCCTTTGGATGCAAAATTGGCAACTTCTGTTTTGTAGGTATCAAGAGCTCCTCTCATTTCTCAATTGGCCTTGAATGACTATTTCAGTGCCCTTTCAAGGTGACCCAGCCAAATTGTTCTAGGACCCCATAGATGAAGAGTTGTTGTTTCAAGGAGAAATGCTTCCTGAGGAGGTCTGGTTCCTCATTATCTGCCCCTATAGGCAACACAACAACAATGTGCCACTGGGATGAGGTGTTACTCACTGTATGTAAACACCAAGTGACATGTTAGATGTACTAGGGTATGTGATCTGGTCTCCAGTGTCTGTTCCAAAAGGGTATGGGTCTCCTATGGGTCTTATGTCATATGTGTCAGCCCTGTGCAGACATCTCAGAGACATCAGGCACCAGGTATTTATGTTTAAGCAACTTGAATCAAGCCCTTAATGTCCAGTGCCCCAAAGAAGGGTAAGAACAGCTGGCAAAGTAAACAGCTCTGGGCTCCAACAGACTTCTATGTAATAGATTTTGAGACCACTGAACCTCTGCTGGGGTCTATCTGCATGCAAGATCCATGCATGCAGGTTTACTTGAACACACCATCTTTCACTATCTTTTGGGGAAGATTTCAGTTGTTACATACATGCAAAAAAACTGATTGACCAGACATTTAGTGGATTTGCCCAACAAATACAAAACAGCCCATATTTTCTCCAAGGAACTTTGTGTGTCTGCTGGTAAATCTCTTCTGGCTCTGGTCTCAGTCACTGCTAATCACAACAGCCTCTTTTCATGGCAAAAAATTTCAGTCCAAGCACCTGGAAAGCTAAGATAGACTCACACAGAGTTCCTTGACTGACAGCAAAGATATGAAATACAATACAAGACATGTCTTCAGGAAGGCACACTTTGCCTATTTAGCATTCAAACCTGTTCAAATATATAGGTACCAACAAAAGTTACTATTAAAAATTCCAATATTCTGACAAATGAGGTGCTTAGAAAGGGATGCCTGCGGACAAACTGGAGGGGGAGGGGTTCATCCATTGGATAATTGGCTTGAAATTCTGTTTCGTAAATCAGATCTAATTAAACCATAGATCACCAGAGTGACATGGTTAAAGATAGCCCAGATGTCTCTCCATGGCATTGCAGCTTCTTTACATATCAGTACATGGACACATATTCTATTTTTGGTCAATTACTTGGAATAGCAGTTGGATACACATCATCATTTAAATCACTGTTTCAATGAAAAAAAGTATTCCAAAATGAATAGGTCCACTGACAAAAGCTCTAATAGCAGACACGTCAACTACTTGCATACCTCTAACTGGTAAGCAGACAGTGACAAGAAATTAAGAATAATACGGTATTCTGTGAAAAAAGTATTCTAGTATTAATTAAGGGCTTCTAGCTTTTCTCAAAAAAATTTCCCAGTGACACTTGCCCAATTCATGCATACATAGTTGAAAAACCTGGTACTTATATTCTTAGACAGAATTTTCTTTTTAACCTCCCTCACCTGAAGTGTCCTCAACACAATTTTCTTGATGTGGATATCCCTAATATGACTTTGTGTGTATGTGTGCATTATAGATATTTTTATAGTAAGTGATAAGGAGTCACATACAGTTACTGCACGGCTCTCCTCACTTGGAAAAGCTTTGTCTCAACAGATTCTTTTGATATAGCACTGTTTTCCACCCGTGCAACTTGCTTTCTCCTAAAAGTGTGATGTCGTGGTATCTTTTAATTTCAAAGCTTTGTCCCAAGCGTAGCCACGCAGGCTTTAATTGAAAATGACTGAGAATGAGACATGAAGAGAAAATCAATTACCTGAATCCCACATTAGAGTGCAACGCGATATCCCAAGTCTCTTGGCACAAACGATACTGATTCATAGGATTGTGAAGAACCACTAGCAAAGAATTATCTTGGGCATGATAAAGGGAATCAATACATCTATATTCTTGGGATGCAGTATGAAGAACCTGAAAAGCAAAGAAATAAAGGTATATCCTCCCTTCACACCATAGCATATGTACAGATGCCACACAGCAGAGCTTTTAGCAAAAGGTGCTTCAGAACTTCACTCTCCTACAACATGTATCAAACCATTTGGATTCCAGCAATCTGAAGTGTTCAGGCAGGTGGACGTTAAAACTCCACTGCTATTCATATTGAGAAGAGGCAGTCACTATGCTCCCCCTTCTGAGACTGACCATGAATGAAAAAGTTCAGACAAATAACAACAAATATATTTAAATATTAAATAAATACTTAAACAAAATTAAATAGTAAAGTATTTAAATAAATAAATAGTAAATAAAAGCAGAACTATGACATACCAGGTAAAAAGAAAGCAAATTTACTTTTTTTTAGCTTAGTTAAGTTTACTTGGTATTCAGTTTGCTATACTATGACCTGCACATCTCTAAGATTTACTGTGTTCTATATTATTCCACTCTGTTCTGTACTGCCCCATCATCTCCAATGTTTACATTGTCTGCAGGCTGAAACTTATTTTATAGTCATAGCTAGAAGAAAGTCTTCTTTTATACTACTATTTTACAGAACTATGCAACAGAAATAAAACTGAAATAATTCCATATCAGCTAATATTCTCTTTAAACATGAAAACCTTAATATCAACTAGTGTAAAAATTACGTTCAGATGTGACGTGTAGTATAAGGAAATATTCTTACAAAATGTTATTTTCTGTTGCAATAAAATGTTATTTTCTGCTGCAGTTATTTTCCACCAGTATCTTTTGACTATATTCACTAACTATTGACAGTGCAGTTAGTATGAGCTACTTATCTTGCACAAAAAGGAATTCCCCACGTACCGAAAGGTACGACCAGACTTTAAAGCTGTGATACTAAAGTGGTGCTGAAAAAGTCCAAGCAGCCTTTCCTTCACCCATGTATAGCATGTATTAGGAGCAAATATGAATTGCAGCACATGAAGCTCAAGGCAGCACAGGAACTAATAATCCACTATTCCCAAGAGAAGCCTACCAACTTAAGCCATCTACACTTGAAGTTATCTTTCACATTTCTCGTTTTGTCTTTCTGCAACATGAGCTTTAGTCTTTAGCTTGCAAGATTTCTATAAATGAAGGTTGTAACCCTGAGAGGGTGAAGTATTATTACAACAAAATTTTCTGTTTGCCCATAAAACTGTGTAGGTATTTGCAAAGTATGCTTTCACACACACTGCACTAATGAGTCCTATAACTGCCAGGGAGGATCACCCCCAAGGGCAAGATCATTTTGTCTTCATCACACGTTTAGCTAAAAAATTCACTACCAAAAAGGACAGCTGTAGTTTGGCCAAACTAGGAAATAAAAACCCATTACAAACTAAATTTCACAAAAGAAACTGAAAAGCAGCTGAAGAACAACGGGTTTTGGCAAAAATGTAAAAGGGATAAAGCTGAATCAATTATCTAGCAAGGAAATACCCTGTACTCTGTTACTAATTTTGCTGGATGAGGGAAAGGCCATGGATGCCCTCTACCTCGACTTCAGTAAGGCATTTGACACTGTTTCCCACAGTGTTCTCCTAGAGAAATTGACTGCTCTTGGCTTGGATGGGCATACGCTTTGCTGGGTGAAAAACTGGTTGGATGGCCGAGTCCAGAGTTGCGGTCAATGGAGTTAAATCCAGTTGGCAGCTGGTCACGAGTGATGTCCCCCAGGGCTCAGTACTGGGGCCACTCCTGTTTAACATCTTTATCAATGATTTGAACAAGGGGATTGAGTACACCCTGAGTAAGTTTGCAGACGACACCAAGCTGGGTGGAAGTGTCAATCTGCTTGAGGGTAGGGAAGCTCTACAGAGGGATCTAGACAGGCTAGATCGCTGGGCCAAGGCCAATCCCATGAGTTTCAATAGGGCCAAGTGCCGGGTCCTGCACTTCAGCCACAACAACCCCCAGCAGCACTACAGGCTTGGGGATGAGTGGCTGGGAAGACGGCCCGCGGGAAAAGACCCCGTGACAGCCGGCTGAACACGAGCCAGCAGTGTGCTCATGTGGCCAAGAAGGCCAATGGCATCCTGGCCTATATCAGGAATAGTGTTGTCAGCAGGAGCAGGGAGGTGATCATTTCCCTGTATTCGGCACTGGTGACGCTGCTCCTCGAGTACTGTGTCCAGTTTTGGGCCCCTCTCTACAAGAAAGACATTGAGGTGCTGGAGAGGGTACAGAAGTGGGTTACCAAGCTAGTAAAGGATTTGGAGCGTGTCTCATATGAGGAACAGCTGAGGGATCTGGGGCTTTTTAGCCTGGAGAAGAGAAGGCTGAGGGGAGACCTTATCGCTCTGTACAACTACCTAAAAGGAAGTTGTAGCGAGGCGGAGGTCGGTCTGTTCTCCCTAGTAACAAGTGATGGAACAAGGGGAAATGGCCTTAAGTTGGACCAGTGGAGGTTCAGGCTGGATATTAGCAAGAATGTCTTTACTGAAAGGGTTGTCAGGCATTGGAACAGCCTGCCCAGGGAGGTGGTGGAGTCACCATTCCTGGAGGTGTTTAAGAGATGGGTAGATGTTGTACTTATGGACATGGTTTAGTGCTGTTGGTAGAGCTAGGACAAAGGTTGGACTTGATGATCTTGAAGGTCTCTTCCAACCGAAACTGTTCCATGATTCTATGATTCTAATTCATTAGTACAGCATTCTGAGGGGTGACTGTACATATAAGACTGTCAGTTCACACGATACCTGAAGAAGTACATGGGGTTGAAAATGCTCAGCGAAACTCCAGTCTGTCAAACAACGCCTCTGTGTCTTTTTTATTTCTTCTAAGTTTGGTCCTAGGCCATAATTTTCCGGACTCACCTCAAAATACACCAAAACAAAATAACCAATATCACCATTTCAGTGTCAGTTGTATTAAATTAACTGTAATCTTGTCGACTTAATCAACAACATCCCATCTTGCATCACAGTTAATTGCATAATGCTGCACATGTGTAGAACCGTATGGCACTATTTAATAAGAGACACAATTACTCCCAAAGGTTTTTGGTCTTGGCTTTTTTTATGGCAAACATAATCTAAACATTTTTATTATAAGGTTATACGCTTTTGAGTTCTGTAAGCAATTATGAATATTTAAACATGTCCTATGAAGTAATTTTAAAATTGGTATATTTATCCAGGGCTGTATGGCAGGCAGGTGTTTCTACACAGTCTATTACTGTGACACAGTTTGGCAATTTCTCTCAATCTCTCATGCTAGTATTTGACCCTGGTATTCAGATAAACCAGCATGGAATTGTTATTAGAAGCTTCACCAGGAGCCATCACCTTAGAACTTAAAGAAAGTGATTTCATAGTGCTTATGGCACTATTTGGCAAACATCACAAAATCAACATTTGCATGCCACATTGCAAAGGAATCCCCAGTAACAACCCTGGCACTGAACAGTATCTTCTGTTGTCTCATGCCATAGAGCACAGTTTATTCCATTCCTCACACTTGCCATATCAGAAACAAAAAGATCCAATTCTTTGTTCAAAGCAGCAGCAGCCAGACCATCTCTTCCATCTTTGCCATTTGTTTCTCTATGTCCTGCAAATTAAAGGCAGAATGTTAAGATCACATTTTTTTGAGATCAGAAATTTCAGCCCTAAGCACTAAGATTTGAGTGATGCAATTTCCTTAGCCTCCTGATGACATTGCTGTCAAGTTGAAGGTTCCTTTTATGACACTAGTCCAATAAATACATGATCAACTCTGCCACATTTCTTTCCTAACAGACCACTTTAAAATCCAGGGACAAGAAGTGCCAGACAGTTCATTAAAAACTAAACCAAAACAAAACAGAAAAGAACTCTTTATAAAACCCACTTAAGTCATCCTCTTTATCTGTCCTATGATGGCCTTACATGGTCAAAAAGATTAAAAATACTCCAAGAAGTGTCCCCAAGACTCATATATGAAGAACCATTTTTCTGTTCACTATACAAGAGAATCAATAACAAGTATTCCTTTGCACAGATGACATAAAAAGAAGGCAAAGATCAATTATTTTGATACTTTCACATATTTTTGAAAAATGCAAAATTTTAAACTTGAAATCCAGTGGATTTATAAAGCTGTACAAGCTACTGACATCATATTACTTCTGCTGAGGATCTGACCACTCACTCCTGATAAACTATCATTGTTACAATGGGCACCTGATATGAACCGGATCACATGGAGACTTTAACTTTTATGTTCTCATATTTTTTTAAAAAATAATTTCCTTTTAATAGGATTATTTATGCCCAGAGTTAGGGCAGAGGTCACTAATACTTGATCAAAATTCACATGTACAAGAAAAATGCTCTTCCTGGGAGAAAATGCTCTGGAGAGATTCTGTTCCTAAGTGGTTCATAACCAGCTCAGCTTCCAGACATATATCTTTAGGCTCTGCTTCTCTAGGAAATTCTCTAGACCTGTTTACTGACTGCCTTTAGAAGATTTAAGAAATCTGAAAGCAAAAGTTTTCTCTTTCTGTTATTTGTTTAGCGTCATAGAAATGACGAAACGTTGGATGCCATGTTTGTGACTGCAATATTTATCATTGCGACTAGCATAAAAGTAAAACAAAATAACACCCAGAAAAGGTTCTCAAAATTTAGGAGAGAGGCAAATAAGCAGGATTCATTTTGCCTGCTCCAACGTTCTGAGGAAAGGATCCCATCTAAGCTGGTTACCTAGGTATCTATTTTAGGAAAGCATGGGCAACATCATGAATCTAAAGGTAAAGCAGCTTAAACTGACCTAATTTCCATTTTTCTCACATCCCAGAAAAATAATCTCTTGTTTTTAACGTTGCTTCTTGGCCAATACTGCTCCAGCCCAACAACTTTTCATTATGTTAGAATCTGCAGAAGGAGAAGATGTAGGACTTGCAGAAAACTCACTCTGCATTGTCTGCAAGAGATCTCCATCTAGGATCGTTCTATCTGAAATGCTCCCATTCTACTATGAACGAGATAGTTATAATGGCTCAAATGTCACATAGTAACTTGCTAAAGATATACTAAGTGCACAGACTGCAAATGAAGTAAAAAAAAATGTACATGAAAAAGTATGTATGCATGTGTAATTATAACGTATATAGCACACCTTTCTTTAATTTACAACTTTTTATATCACCTTCTAGAGTCCTCATGTGTAAGTTATATATCTGTTCCACTTCCTAATACACATTCACTAGTAATCATCTAATTAACCTTACACACAACTTTTGATTTAACTCTGTGGTAGCTACTGACTTTGTAAAGACTCGGCTGCCATCATAACTCACAAGAGACTGTATTCATAAAGCTATTTAAGCACGTCTTCCATATTTTATGTCTCTAAAATACATTTGATGTCATAAGCTATAAAACAGTTTTCTAGTAAATACTTTTCTACAGCTATCATTTTAAAGTGTTGCTTAAATAAACTGTTAATATTGTCACACAAAACACTAGCTTTTGTCTTTATCTAGTGATCCTACACAGATACTCAATATACAGACTACACTATACTTGAAATTCAGGGATTTGTACAAGTAAGAAAAAAATCACAGCCCTGAAATAGCAAATGATACGGTAAAATAAATAGCAGATTTAAATTCTTCAGGAGTAATGTAAACAGAGAGGTTTTTACCAGAGCCTCTTGGAGACTTCCCACTAAGCTTCTTTTCCATAAGGAAGAATTGTCTCAGCTGTCTTGCAAACCTGGCTGGATTATCCCAAGGGATATAAGACACTTCAGAATCACCTCCAATGGTAGATGCAGAGCTCTCCAGCAGACCAGAGTCACTTAGTCCAGTCAGTCTCAGGCTTTCAAAAGTAAACACTCTGAAGGCTCTTTCTACTTCAGCCCAACTCAGAAGTTCTATAAAAGAATTACAATCATTTACTGAAAATGTCCTTATGGCTCAGTAGAAGATAAATAGGAGACTATGTAACTGTATTGTTCTTGGCAACTCTGCAAAAGCCAACAACAGTTTCCTTAATGGTATTGGATCAAATCATGTGAGGTACATTTTACACTGCATTCAAAGTTGAATGCTTCCAAATTGCAAAATGACATGGCTAACTATTAATCCATCTTAAATGAAGTGTTTCCTACATCTGAATACCTCTTGGCTCATTAACTTTATATAAATTATGTTGATTTTAAAATACTGAGTAGACTTTATCAAACCAGTTAACAACTAGTTATTTTCAGTTCATGAAAAGGCTTCCTTATCATAAACTTTATTATCTGTAGCTTCTCAAAGCAGTTTTTTTCTCTTCAGACAAAATTTTATACATAATTTACACAGTAGTATGCAAGGTGTAAAGACAATAATAAATCCTATTTATGGTTGTATGCATTAGTGTCCATATAACAATGATAATCATGAGAAGGACTGATCAGACAGGTAGTTCAGTGCCCAAATCATACAAAGAGTATCTTCTGTTTGAAATGTTTTCTCTTTATGGTAGTTAAACACCCAAGCATGTCACACATCTTGAAAATGTTGGATATCTCATCTCCTGTTCAAATCAATGACCTTCTTGATAAAAGTGAAGACATTGCTAGTGAAGTTAGCAGTTGGGAGTTTAGCAGTATAGCACGGTCCATCAAATTTGATACCCATCAGCTGGAATGCTACAGCAATACAGAACACCTTAATAGCTTAATGTCCAAAATGAGCATACCAACAACTAGAAACAATCCAGCGACTGTAAATTAATCCAACACAAGGGATTTCAGGACTGAATAGCTGAGAAAGTACCTTCAAATCCTGGGCCTTATGTGATGGCATAAATGTAACCAAAGTGATTTGGATGTTTATATTGCTTAGTAGTCTAGAGCAAACTTTCAAAACTACCTAAGGGTATTTATGCAGTCTTTGGGATTGTTTCACAGTGTACATCATGGGTGTTCTGTGCACTGCAAAAAAAAGTAACTGCAGAAGTGATTATGGTGAAGAAGCAAATGTATTCTTGGTTTGATAAGGGGATCGTTATTAACACCAACAGCTTACACTGAATAAATTCTGAAAGCCATTTCTTGTCCAATAAAAATCTTCTAAGATGCTTGTGCTCCTCCACCAAAAGGTGTTGGTAAATAAACATACAGTTTATGTCAGTGTCTCCCAAAATGTATTCTATGCCCTAAGATCAAAGTAGCAATTAGTACAATTTTTTTTTTCCTTTCTCAGATTTAGTAAATGTTTGTATGTTTGTGAATATAACTAAATAATTGAATTCTAACATACTTACAGCTCTTAGTCACGTGATATTTAATACTCACATAGCCTTGCCCATTAACCATGAAACTGAGGTCTAAAGTTATCTCTAAATTGTATAGTAGGCTAAGGTATAAGCAAGAATGTGAAAAAGAGAAATTGTGCAAAGGTTTTAGGCAGCTGAAAAAACTTGTCCCAGAATTCCTGCTATTTAATCAACCAGAAGAAAAAAATGGAAGATATATCAATGAGAAGAAAAATCACTTTACCACTGGTGCAACAATGCATGAGCTCATGAACTCCGGCCAAGTGTTTAGCATTGTTTTCAGTTGAAGGAAGGGTGAAACAGATAAGTTCTGTAAGAGGCAGCTTGCCCATCATTTCACGTTCAATCTTTTCTGGATTTAAGTTCTCCTGGACCTGGAACAAAAACCAAAGTACCAGAGTTAAAGTAAACTTTCACAGCAGTGGATTTCTAAAACTTATGTTTGAACCACAGAATGTTAGGGGTTGGAAGGGACGTTGAAAGATCATCTAGTCCAACCCCCCTGCCAGAGCAGGACCACCTAGAGCAGATCAACAAGGAATGCATTGTCTCCAGAGACAGAGACTCCACAACCTCTCTGGGCAGCCTGTTCCAGTGCTCTGTCACCCTCACAGTGAAAAAGTTTTTCCTTACGTTAATGTGGAACCTCCTATGCTCCAGCTGGCACCCGTTGACCCTTGTCCTATCATTGGCCATCACCGAGAAGAGCCCAGCTCCATCCTCCTGACACTCGTCCTTTATGTATTTATAAACATTGATGAGGTCACCCCTCAGTCTCCTCTTCCCCAAGCTAAAGAGACCCAGCTCCCTCAGCCTTTCATCATAAGGGAGATGTTCCACCCCCTTAACCATCTCTGTGGCTCTGCGCTGGACTCTTTCAAGCAGCTCCCTGTCCTTCTTGAACTGAGGGGCCCAGAACTGGACATAATATTCCAGAGGCTGTCTCACCAGGGCAGAGTAGAGGGGGATAAAGAATAGAGGAATAAAAAATAAAATAGAGGGGAATGAAGAAGTCTTTTTATAGCAAAAGACACAAACATGTTCTTAAGTCAGCTGGACATAAATTTGAGCGTGTGCTCACAGTGTGTTTTTGAATTATGGTGTCAGATATTTTAGGCAGAAAAAAATGAGATACATAAGAGAATAAGTGATAGCATAATAACAGACAGTTAGAAGGTATTTGCCTGTGGTAGCTACACTCAAAAATTCTGGAATACAGAAATATGTACTGATCTATTCAGACAGGCAGCAGGTACATTCCATGTATCTTTCAGCTGGTCTGTGCTACTTCTCATAGTAATGAAGTCTGTAAACTGATTGATCAGTCTGTGACAGCAGCATCCCTATATATTTAAGGATGTACCTTTCGAGACTTAATGGTATCTTTTGGCTTCACTCTTTTTAGTATTACGCACTTGCAGTACTTTTTTCTTGGACTTTATCTTCCAAATCTTTTTCCTCTATTCACTCCTCAAACATTTCAATTTCCTCTGCAGCATGTACGTCATATACATTGAGCGTACACCTGCTTCAGTGATGACTCAGTCCTGACTTCTGCTTGAGTACCTCCAATGTTTCAGTCTCAATTTGTTTCTAATGCTGTTTTAATCAACGGTTGTCAAAGTATCTCACAGATGATTTGTAATTCATGAAGCCAGGCAGACACACCTTAGCTGTGAAATCTAGAACCGTATTATCGCTTGTATTGCCTTTAGAGTATTTTTGAAGTTTAATGGTAATACTACACCCTGGCTTTAGAAAAAATCGAGGAATTCATAGTGGGTTTTTTGGTTCAGAAAGCCTGGGAATTGCTACTTTGAAATAATCCCAAGCCTTGCAGTCTCTGAACCTTTCTACCTTTGTTAGAATTTGGCAATGCCTTGGGAATACACTATGCTCCAACTATTCAGCCAACCTGAACACAGTTCTTGTGTTCACTAACAAACTTGTATTTTTCTTATACTTCTCTACGTCTTAGTATTTAATCTAGTCTACATGCTAAATTGCTGTTATCAAGGTAGCAACTCATTTTCCACAGTTTCATCAGTGTTTGAATACAGTAAATCAACAGAGTTCTGTAATATCTCTCATCTATGCCAAAGGCTAAACAATTCTTATTAATAATACAAAGAGATCACTGAAAGCAATATAATGCTCTATGTTTGTGATGTGTTCTGTCAGTAGCAGTAACTCATTGCTTCTTAAGCAGACTGAACACATGTGTTAGTGACTATTTCAGCAGAAAAAATCTAGGCTATACTGTTCTGCTTTGTAAAAACACCACTCCATACTTTCCAGTGCATTGAGTATTCACTGCCTGGAGGCTTTAGAACTGTTTATATATGATACGTGCCACTGTACCTTCAGCAGATGCAACCGCTGAGCCAGGGTATCATGGTAGTTAAATAAGAGAGGGTACTTGGGCGCAACAGTCTTTTTTTCACTGTATTTAGGAGAAAAGTAGTCATATAGATTCTGTTAAAAAAAGAAAGATGTATTACATCCTGATAATCAGATTTCGTTGTCATTTTAGGAAATGAATAAAAGACAACACAAACCTTTTTTTCACTCTCAGAAAGTGAAAGAGAAGGAAGGATAGAGGCTATATGATCTGCAATAGTATGATGTAGTCCATCTGCCCGGGGCTCTGGAACCACCAGACTAGGTGGCGTAAGGTCGTCTTCACTTGCAATAACCTGGCAAACATGATATATGTTAACTTTCAGTATGATTGCTGCTTAACTTCATTAGAACTACCAAGCAGATCCTGCTATAAACTAAACACACATCCATGAACTTTGTCAGAAAAGAAAACCATAATTTTTTTCTACAAGTAGTAAAAAAGCAATTATCCATGTTAGATCCTGCCCAGAACAAAAATTATGGAAAATAATATAGAATTAAATGTTTTCTCCTATTATTCACTTTTGGAAGGACGAGATGAAAAATATTTCCAAATTGAAATGTTAAGAATTGTTAATGCAGACAGATGATTAACAAATTACTCTGTATTAGCTGTTGGACCTTATTTTGAGTATTTTTGCCCAAGCCTGTTTTTTCTTTATTTCATTCATGGTAGACAAAAGCTTAAGAGGGCAGAAGAAAGTGGCTTATAGGTCATGTACTAGTGTCAGGGGAGAAATGGGCTTACTTTTGCAAATTGCTAAAAGTAGAAAAAATAATATTATGCTAAAATTTTATTTCTGAAAGAAGGAAGATTTCCAAATCACACTGAGGGTCTTTGCTAACTCATAGATTGTGCCTGAACTCAACAGAAGTCAGATCTGTATAGCACTAGCATTGATATATGTCACTTCTATGTTAGGCTTGCCCTAAGACCTTTGTACTGTGTAAAACAGTAAAGTTCAGTATCAATAACATCATTGCAGGACACGAAAATTTGTTATTGACTTAGCTAAGAAATTACACCTTTCTCCTTGTTTGATTATACGGGATCTGTAGTCTTGAAAAAATAATTTTGGAATAACACTATATACAGGCTAAGTGCACAATACAAAAGAAAACCAAACAAGTAAATTTTGAGTTGTGATTCCTTTGTATTGAACCTTAGTCAGTGCCTCCATGCACAGTCTCTTATTTTAGGCTGAAGTAGACGGATTTATTGGTCTTTGATCAATTCATTATACCAGGTCAAAGTCAAATTAGTCACAGGAATTATAAACAGAATATTCCTACCTGTTCCAACATGCAGTTCAGCATTAAGGGTACAGAAAAGCATTCCTCAGGAATCTGACTCAGCAAGTCATTGTAATACCTCATGTCCACAGAAGTAGCCAAAAAAGAAGCTTCTTCCTCTGTTGTAATAAGAGATAAAACGTTAAGATCAATTTCTTCAGAAATGCCAATTTATATTACCAACTAGTTCAATCTTCAGACAATTTTTCTTAAAATAGACTAACAAAGTCCATAACTGTAGAGCTCTTAAATCTGTGACTAGGAACAGATAGAAAAAGTGGTTTTGTAAAGAATTCCGTTATCACCACTGCAGTTTCCAGAGACTTTCACAATGTATTCACCAAGAAACTACTCTTGCAACGTCAAATCAGCTTACAGTGCAAATAATTTTAAGGATTTGTGCTGTCAGATGAATGAACGGTATGACAGACTCAACAGCTATAGACCAGCACTTGAATTCTTTAGACATACCCTGTGACAAATTTACCGTTGGCAGAATTTCTTCTGCTTGCCCTTTCTTCTTTGAAGGTGTAATCTGTGATGCTGGTTGTACCTAAAGGAACAAAAATAAAAATAAAAAACCTCAGAAACAGTGAAACAACTGAGAATTGCACAAATAGGTGGGAGAAATTAATTTCATTTAGCTTGGTAACTCACCCTAGACTAGATGCTAATCTTTTAAACGACTGGTATTAGGGGAGACAAATCCCACCTAGCTCTGAATGGAACAAGATAGTAAGAATGTAGTTTTATGAATGCTTCAAATGAGCATTCAATACTACTGCTACAGATGGAGTAAGCCCATTTTTCCCCTGTCACTAGTACATGCCCAATAAAGCCACTTTCTTCTGCCCACTTAAGCTTCTGTCTGCCATGAACAAAACAAAGAAACTGATCTTGCATAGCACTAAATCTTTTTTTGATAGTTCACAGATCTGCAACAAGACATAGTAGCTCTGTGCAGGCACATTGATTTTTCAGACACAAAAATGTGTCATCAGAATCTCTTTAAGGGATTTTTACACTTGGGATACTTTACGTGTGTAAGATCCTTCAAATTTTCCTTTTTCTGTTTCCCCAATGCTGAGCTTTTTTTTTTTTTTTTTTCCCATTTTTGAGGTTTTTAAATGCTGAAGACAAAAATCCCAATTTCATTCACAGAAAATTATGCATGGAGCGATGGACCAAGGAGAATTTTTGAGTGCAGAACTAAAGACAGGCAATTCTAGCCTATAACTAGTTATTTTCCACAAGAAGCATGGTAAAGCACAAAGGATCCTTGCCTCAGTTACAGGTGGTTGTGTCGATTTGCTCTCTGATAATGCAGGCACATTAATAAATTTGGTATTTTCCAAGTAGTTACAATGCTGTCTTCTCCAGTCCAGGCAGTCATACATTAAACAAGCAATGCTTTCAAACAGCACAGTGCCAAATGCAAGCTATGACAGAAAATCAAAGGATGAAGTTTGCATACAAAAGTGTCATGTAACCTAGCCATATGAGTCATTAGCTCTCTAACCAGAAGATCTACAAACATTTGAAAAACTTTCAAGGGATTTTAACTCCACTAATTCAAAATGTTTATAGAGTTATTCTAAGAAAACAAGGCCTCCTCATCTTTATTTGCATAAACAAAAACTGTCACACCACGTGGACTGAGTACTGCCCAGCTACTGCAGTTGTTATAAAGCCTAACTGATCTTAACAGTAACCACTCAAGGTCTGCTGTCTTGCAACTGGAATTTAGGGGTTTTTTGGGGTGGGAAGGAACAGGACAGGTAACTTAAAATAATTCTTTTACATCATATGTGCATGTTTCTACTGGTGATCAAACTGCAGCATATTTGAAAGATCAACCATCCTCCTGCCCTAGAAGGAAAATAAATAAATAAATAAAACAACTAATTAATGCCATCTCATATTATTTTATTTCTGTTGTCCTTTTAAAATAAAGAAGGTCTCAAGAAGTGAACTCTGAATTCCATAGTTGTGCAAACAAAGGAATGTCAGCGTACCAGTCAAATGCCCAAAGGGAGAACACTGCATCTGCAAAAGCCTGACAAGGAAAGAGTCAAGGTTCTTGAGGTGATGTACTGTGGTGGTTTTCACCAAAGCTTGAGAGGAATAAAAAGCATAATACCAACTGCTATTTTAAATGTGAAATGCTTTTGTACAAATACCAAAACCCTATCTGAGACCACATGCAACACTCAAGTTTCAGGGGCTTTAATGAACATGATCTTCCCCTGTACATCCTAGACACTGTGAAAAAGATGAAATTATTATAATTTTTAGATAATTTCCATCAACAGCCCTTTTCCAATTGATTATTGCACTTTTGTGAAAGTAGGGGAAGTCTCTTGTATCAAGAAGTTTGCCTCTAAGACGTGGCTATCAACATTGGATATCTCAAGTTTCCTAAAATGAAACATGGTGAAGAAGCACAACTGTCGTTAAGCACTAAATATATTAACTGACTCTTAAGAAGTATTAAGCATCTGCTTTCTTCAACTCAGACCTTCTTTATGGCACTTCAAAACAAGCACACCAAATCACTGATCAGTTATGGAATAGTAGTTTTATTTTCATAACAGTTAAAGACTAGAAATATTTGGAAGAGAAGTTCTACTTGTGAAAACAGAATTTTCAGAGTTAGTATTTCTTGTACTTTTGTTTTTCCAATTCAACGCTCTTCTGAAAAATGGGTTAGTATAAACACCTTCCATTCACGTATTACAACAGATCAATAAAGCATACAAAAATTTCAATTAAAGTATTGGACTGTTTTGAATGCAACATCTTTTAAACAAAATAAGAATTTTTACAAAGTTACAAGTAACACAACCTGGCTGTACTCAACGGGACACAATTACAGTTTCATGATTCTATCTATCTGCTTGCTCTCTCTTCTTCTCAGGACAGACACAGATGCTTGTCAAAAGTTCTCTGAGCCTCACCACTAGTGCCTCTTCAAGAAAGGAAGAAAATTTTGGAAATATTCTCCTTTCCAAATATCTGAAATCTGAAAGTGGAGATTACTTGCTGTATCTAATACTCTATCATTTCTCTATCAACATTTAACAATTTGTCACAAGAGTTTTCCTTCTGTATATCTTAGACTTCAGAGATGCAGCAAGCTAGGACTCTGAGACTCTCCAGGAAGTCCACTAGAGCACACTAGCTACCTATGATTTCACAACGTATATTTTTCCCTTCTGTTTCCTTAAAAACTTAACAAATGTTTCTACTTCTTTAAAGTGCTGCTGAATTCCGAGACAGAAGAATGTGAAATTACAACTACAATCTCCCGGAACAATTTCAGTGACAGATCATTCTTCTTTTATTTCAGCTATAATATAGCTGCTCACAGGATATTCATGAGTAGCAACAGTCCCCTATAAAATGTGATCACGGGGAAGACAGACAAAACTAAAAAATTTCTTTCCCAAAATAGGCTTCATGTTTTAAGATTAGATCAAGAGTATAATGGTAAGTGACGTTGTAAGTAGCAAGTCTACACATATCCACAATTCAGGTATTTTTAGAGAATGCCTTACAAACCACAGTGGATTTAGCCAAACACAGTTCTGATCCCTTCAGGATCAAGTGTACTTCCTAGCTTACCAAATTGTTTATATACAGGATTTAATGTACTGTAAGTGTTAGGAGGATGTAGTCTGTTCTTCAACCCTAATAATACAGACCACAAATACACTAGGTTAAATTATGCCATGTTGGTTTATTTTGCTTTAGCAGTTTATATTTTTTACTGCTGGCATTATGGATTGAAAAATACTGGACCCTTTGACCTCACTATACTTGACCACTTAGGCTGGAAAAAATTTCTAATGGTCACTGTCTCTTCCAGTGCCCAGTAAGAGTCCTGACTCAGCAGGGTATAATGAGTAATAAGCTAGAGCCATGTTTTTGGGTTGGACAAAAAGAAGTGATACTGAGTGTGCTAAAAGAACATCTTGTATGAAAAAGCATTTTGCATTCATCTTCATTTGTTCTTGTGACTGTTCTGAGATACAGTAAGTAGATCTGCTGTTATGAGGGCAAAAATTATAATTTTTGTATTCTTTCATACTGGCATCTCACTCTCTAATAATATTCACACTGGGTCTATGTAAAGATGTTGAATAAATTTAATACCTCAAACTGTTTTAAAGCTCTGCTGGTTGGCCTACAATATTAAGAAACTCCAAGTCAGGTATTTTTATTCGAAGGACACCTTATGTATACATGCTGAATAAACTTGTTGGATCCACAGGAAATAATTTTTGTTCAAGATTACAAATACCTGTTTCACCGAAGACTAAGGTAAAATTCCTGTCATTTCTAAATTAGTCTTAAATGTTACAAACCCCAAAGAATGCCATGCATTGTGAAAGCAGAATGTACTGACCAGCATTTCTCTGTCAGACCAATCAGGGGGAAAAGCACTCTCTTTAACTAGGTGATGAAGTCTGGCAACATCAAAGAGACTTGATCCATGCTTTCCACTGTTCAGAACTGGCTCCAGGTATTTCCAAAATCTTTCCAGGTCTCTGATAACTTCATCTTTCTTTCTTTTCTCTGCTTCTAAAACTAAAATTTATAAGTATTAGATAAATCATAGTACAATGTCTCCCTTTTACACAAAGGACAAATCATGTATTAGTCTTCCGTAAGTACTGTTAAAATATTTCCATCCTAAGTGTCTCAGCAAAAATCTGACATCCAACTTTGGGATTAAAAAACTCCAGGAAGATAAAGTCTCAGTAAGACATGGTAGTTCTTTCAGAAAAAATAAAAAGCAAAAAAACCCCCACACCCCTACCTCTCCCTCCCAAACTAAACAACAGCAGTGAATGTTTGAAACCTAGGAAATGTAAAAATCCTGGTTGCACTTTTCCAAAGCTGCCAGCACACACCTTGGCAAACCTGTTCTTTAAGTATACGATAAGCAAGCCTTATTATCTCAATTTTATTGGTGTGGAAACTGGGGCAAAAGGACATTAAGGTACAGTATGACTATGAATAGCCAGCCTAGAAGTTGTATGGTTCCCATTTTTGCTGCATAGTAATGAATTTTCAAATATGCTCTAGGTACATACAGTGAAAAAGGTCTTTCTTAATGCCAACCTTACAATCACACTCTGGAATTTAAGGTCAACCATACATCTCTTAAATTTGGCTATAAAAGGTAAGAACACTGAACACGCAGTGACTTGCTTTCATTTGGACTTAGGGGTGCTCAGAACTTCTAAAACCTAAGTATGAAAGCCAAATACTTCACTTGCATAATTCCAGTGGCCCCGTGGGTTTAAAACAAAACAACTCAGTGAGGCTCTGGACTCTTCAGAAAATGCTGATCTGCCTAAGGTTTTCCAAGTTACATATGCCTCCTGTAGCAGCCATCAGAAATGTTTGACAATTAACTTATAAAATGGTTTTATCATGATTCAGAAGATATGTCTTATTAACTGACTCTAGAAACTGGGTAGAAGACCTGGGAACTCTCTGCCAGAAGATTCTGTAGGTATAAGAAATTCTCATGAGTTCAAGGGGAGACTGAACAAGTACTTAGGAAATAAACTAAATCTGTTGAGGTTTACTAAAAACAAAAAATACATCAGGATCAGGAAAATCCACTGACTTGAAAATAACTGGTGGCTAGATGATGTATGTGTTGAGAAGTTTCATACATGCTTTTCCTTCTATTCCTTCCCTTTACTCTTCCTTGGGCATTAGCTTATGAGCACTTCTGGAGACAAATCACTGGCCTAGGTGGTCTCTTGACCGCAAACAGTTCTATGCTCCTAACAGCTCCTCTCAGTCACAGGATCATTCATTCTGTTTTTCAACTACTCATAAAAAGCATCCTCTAACTCAGGACAACACCTCACCCGTGGCAATGGTCTCCTAACAAATTCAGATTTGAAAGCACACCTCAGCACTGTAACAGCACCTAGGGCTGCTCAGTCAATGGATTAATCTCTGCATTTTTGAATGAAAGGTGAATGGCACTGTGCTAATAAAATTGTAGCTAGACATTCCTATTTTACAATAAAAGAATAATAACATTTTACTAACTCTGCCCCATAGTTTTTTTATTATTAAACACACAAAAATGTGTTTGACATTAGCCTTACCCTTCCACAGAAACATTGCTGCTTGCCAGGATCAATCATTAGATTCACTGCCCTTGACTACCGCCTCCCCGTTTTCATTCTTTTGCCTGCGCTCCTAAGGCTTTTCTCTCCTCAAGTATATTTTCATCATGTAAACCCTCTCAGAATTAATTAAAATTTTCATAAGTAACCCCAAAAGGAGGTACAAGAGCTGAGAAAATCTGTCAATACAGAAGAGATCTGGCACAACCCCACAGAGGAACTGAATTAACTTGAAGTCTTCAGTAATAAAATGAGATAGTACCCAGCAGTACATTATACAATTTTGGAAAAACACCACCACCACCACAAAAAAAAAAAAAAAAAAAAAAAAAATCTGTTATCATTATATAACAGTGAAAGAAAAGCATCTAATATATACCAATACATTGCATAGCAATTTTGAACCATCACTGTGAAAAGAGAAATCCTAGAATCACTAGAATGTGTCAGGTCACCCTTTTCCAGCAGAAATGCAGAAAAAATCATTCCATTTTGTCAAGCTGAGAGACTGGTCTGAGTTCTCTCACTAGTTCTCAGAAAAGCTAAATTGTAGTAGCACAGCTACTAGAGTGATCAGAGGAACAGAAAAATAGCCATATGAAAGGGTACTAACAGTGCTTGACTTGGTAACTTCACAAAATGAAAGCCATTAGGCGATGCAAACACCTGGGAAAGAAAAGAACATAAAAGCTGGGATCCCTAATCCATGATTCATGTGTGTTCATGCTAAGAACAACATAAACACTATTACATAATTGGATTTACAGGTTAATGTCTTCCTGTCTAAAATTTTCTCCATACATTATTGAAATGATCAACCACGATCTATTTTGTAAGTCATTCAACTATGAAATACTTGAGTTAATGCCTGCTCCAAGGCACAATTAACTATACCTGTACCACTGCTGACAGATGTTTGTCTTAATATAACTTTATAAACGCCAAAGACTCAATAATATTCCTTCTCAGTTTACTTCAGTACTTCACTAACCTCACCTGCAGAAAGTTTCTTGCTGCTACATTGTATTTTCTCTATTGCAACTTAAACTCTTCATTTTCTGTCCTAGACTTTTACAAACTTGAAAACTTTCATAATTTCTCCACTACATTGTTCAGACTTCTCTTCTTAAGAATAATGATTCCATTCTTTTCCCTTGTAGATAAAATTTTATAGCTCCTTAATAATTTTCTTTTCCATCATTTGGAATTTTTCTGATTGGCACACATTTCTTACAAGGTCTTACATCATTGATTTGCATGATAAGATCACCTCAAGTACTTTTTAGGACATATTCTCATTTATAACTTGGAGAAGATATTTGTTTTTTAGTGGCATTAGTGATATTGCTGACTTTTATTAATTTGTGAAGTCAGCATGGCAGGTTATCTTTCAAACCTGTCATCTAGCCGTGCATTTCCTAGCCTTTATTTGTACATTTAATTATTCGTGTATAAGCATACTACATTGTCCATATTAAACAGAAGTCTTTTTTCCAGATTATTATTCTCTATTCTGTCAAGAATATTTTGCATTTGAATCCCATCTCCTTATTCCAATACCCACAACAATACCAAATAATACCAGACCCAGCACAAATTTCTTTGAGTCTGCTCCATGCATCAGTCTATTTGATAGTAAACCTTTAACAATTACTCTACGGAGGGGCAAGATTTTTGAATAAGACTGCACCTACTACATATTTATTTGCTCACTGTGGGCCACGTGAAATAGCGTTATTAAAATCCAAATATACAACACAGACTATTCCTCTGCTCAGAAGGCCAGTACTTAATTTTGTAAGGAAATTAAACTTGTCTGACACGATTTGTTCTTGAACAGCATATACTAGCTGTTACTCATCTCCTCATTTTTCTTTTCAGTGGTTACAAATTATTTGTTCCAGTATTTTTCCAGAAACAGCAATTATGCAGATTACAGTGCCATAGCTACTTGTGTTCTTTTCCCTCTTCCTCACAGCTCTTTTTCCACTATCTCACTTGCTTTTCATGATTTCTCAAATATAAATGAGAATGGCAGGCAAATCTTTAAATAGAATACAACTTAAGTTAATCTGAATCAGCTGATCTGGAAAGTTCTCTACGTTACCTAAGAAGCACTCAGTTATTTTACATATTTCTCCACAATTCAAAGCCAAATCTTTCTGCTACCAGCATTAATTGTGGTTAGTTGTAACCATCACCTGTCTGCAATGGTATTTTTAGTGAAAACAGATTAAACATCATCCCCCCATCCCAACACAAATGCCAACAAGTAGCACAAAAAGCCCCCCCGAAACCTTAACCACTACCAGCCTTCTCAGGATCACTTCCTGATAGTTCTTCCTCCCTGTTAAGCAGCAGACAAACATTTTACTTGATCCTCCTCCTGCATCCCATTTTGTACTTTGCATTTCTGATTTTGTGCCAACAGGCTTGTAATAAACATATATTCTCATTCCTAGCAACCTGACCTATTTCTAATTCTTAGATGCTTCCTTTTATCTGAGGTCCATAAAGAATGCATGGTTTAGCCACACTGTTTTCTTATTACGCAACCTATTCTTTCTTAGTAATGAGGAAAACTTGAATTACTACCTATAATATTACTTACACAAGATATAATAATCTATATTTACTGGTTCGCCCCTGCTTTAAAAAGATTCCTCGTGAATTTTACTTAACAATTACCTAAGTTTACTAAACTCTTCCTGCTATCATACATACAAGTCAAAGAAAAGATATTATAACTTCAGAAACATTTGGAGAAACTTCACTCT